GGAGAAGCAAGGAAAGAAGCTGAGGATAATGAAGATGACCAATAGCAAAGGTGTGAAATGGCTCATCAACATCAAGAACCACAACCGGGTGGCACACATAATCAGAAAGGTAACACAGATGGATCTGGACAAATCAAAGGAGCTTTCAAGGAAAGAAGATAGAAAGCAAAAGAGCATTACATTAAAATGCATTTAGTGGGAAGACAGAACAGGCCAAGGTTGACCTCACCTGGCTGGAGATCAGCCATAAAGAGCAGAAAGAAGTGCAGGAGGTCACCAGGAAGAAAGAAGCAGCAAGAAAAGCAAAAGATGCAAATTTATCAGGAAAATGAATGCAATTACTTACTCCAAATAAGTAAGCATGGCCTGTGGGAGGAAGTGGGCCCTACTGCCAGGACCTCTGCTGTGTCTTGCCCACTCTATGCCCTGGCACCACTGAAGCAGCCCCTCAGAGCTAGAAGCCCCCCTATGGCCCGGGGCCTCCTCTTCATCATCTTGGCACATAAATCATTTGAGGGGAAAGGAGAGCTGGGGGACTGGGGAGGGAATCTTTGAGACAAAAAGATAAGGACTGTATTTCCTATGTAACCAATGGAATGGTTTTGTCTTCAGAATTTAGAATCTCTGTTGGGGGGAAGAGGGAGTATATAGGAGGTGGGTTAAGAAGTTTTCATTTGCGGTAGATTGCACCGTAAGGGGCGGTTGTGCTGGGGTCAGCTACTGATGAGTTTGCAACAACCAGACCTGGACTGTGTTGCGTGGGTGCTCACTCAGAGAGAGACTATACTTCGAGTCTCTGAGGGTCATGGCTCGTCCCTGAAGCCTCCTCTCTCTGCCTCTCCCTCCCCATTCCCAGCCACCTGGGCAGGGCCAGTATCCATTTTTAACCCTACTCATCTATCATTTCAAAAAACTTCTGTTTACTCTGCAGCACCCAGGCAAACCACACTCCACAAATTCAATGTATGTATTTGGCATATTAAACTTCACATTATCATTTTTAAAAACCCAACTCAATATAAAGCTACAGTAAACTAATCAAGACAGTATGATACTGGCATAAGGATAGACATATACAGATGATTAGAGTCTAGAAATACATCTTTACATTTATGGTCAACTGATTTTCAACACAGGTACCAAGACAACTTAATAGGGGAAAAACAGTCTTTTTAACAAATGGTATGGGGTTAATTGGATAGCCAAATGTAAAAAGATGATTTTAGAAACTAACACACAAAAACTAACTCGAAATGGATCACAGACCTCAATGTAAGAGACTGGGAATAGGGACTGCCTGCAAATGGACATGTGGGATCTCTTTACTGTGATAGAAATATTCTAAAATAGGACTGGCTGCAAACTAGGCAGACACACTAAAACTCACTGAACTGTACACTTAAAATGGGTGAATTTTATGGTATGGAAATCATACCTCAATAAAGTTGCTTTAATTAAACCTCTACTAAGTGACAAAAATTCTCAAAGAAGCATCTCTTTAAAAAAAATTTTTTAGGGCGCCTGGGTGGCTCAGTTGGTTAAGCGACTGCCTTCAGCTCAGGTCATGATCCTGGAGTCCCGAGATCGAGTCCCGCATCGGGCTCCCTGCTCGGCAGGGAGTCTGCTTCTCCCTCTGACCCTCCCCCTCTCATGCTCTCTCTCTCTCATTCTTGCTCTCAAATAAATAAATAAAATCTTTAAAAAAAAAAAAATTTTTTTAAAGTACTGAAGTACTAACAAATGAGGCTCAAGCTTATTCAATGTCAATTTTTCCAAGTCTACCTCTTCTAAACTGATTTAGAAAAAAGAACTGTGTTGCTAATATCAATTTGAAATAAAATTTAGTATGAGTGGGGCGCCTGGGTGGCTCAGTCGGTTAAGCGACTGCCTTCGGCTCAGGTCATGATCCTGGAGTCCCGGGATCGAGTCCCGCATCGGGCTCCCTGCTCGGCAGGGAGTCTGCTTCTCCCTCTGACCCTCCTCCCTCTCATGCTCTCTGTCTCTCATTCTCTCTGTCTCAAATAAATAAATAAAATCTTTAAAAAAAAAAAAAATTTAGTATGAGTGATAGCTTAAGTAACTTATATGACCTCAGAAGATTAGGAAAAAACATATCCTAGGAAAAAGAATGACAGTTGAGAATAATCTAAAAACCCATGCCATATTCCTATCAGAAATTTGCACACAAATAAAAAAAAGGCAAAAAATTTCCATTTAGCTTTACATAAGCTGTTACAGACTGATGATGTAAGGGGCCAACTCACCATTTCAATATTTAAGCACTTTAACCAAAAATGTCAGACTGAAAATGAACTTAAAATAGTGATACTCAATAATTCGTGACACCTTTCAATTCCTTTGTTTCTGTGCTACAAAGATGAGCAATACATTTAAAAGATGAAATTTTCTTGAGTATAAATCCATAGTGACTTGCAAAATCAAAAACTGAGTTTTTTCCAAATACATCATCTAACAATTTAAGTGCTCCTCTATCATTTTTTTAAAAAAACCTCTCAATATTAATGTGCTGTATTAGAGATAAAATCATACAAAATGAGATAGCACAAACCACCTAAGTATAAAAAGCTTATAGATAATTCTATATTCCATTCCAGTACTATAAGGCATATTTAAAGGATACTTATAATTAGCTCTTAATACACAACTGATAGATTAGTAATATTGATATATACTCCAGCCCAAGATCAGTTTCTATTGCCAAATGCATCTCTTCATAATTCTAGAAGCAGCAAATCATTGATTCAATTTACAAGGTCACACAACTGAGGTATACTCAAATCTTAAGATAGTGACATCCTCAACAGGAAGATGTACATGATATAAAGAACTGTCTTTCAGTATTTTACTTTAAAATTAAGCGCTAAAAAAAGAAAATGAATGGCAATTACACCACAAACACCTATCTATCCTGTAACATAGGCCTGTCAGTGTTAACTTTTAATTATTACTATATCTGGCTGTATGTCAAGTAAGCAAAAAGCCATCTCTATATAAAGGATATTTGGGATTGCAAAGGGAGATCCAGAACCTGCTAAAGATCCACAAAGTTAAAAATATATATACAAAATAATGGAGAAACAGGAACTAAAATGACTAAAATATGCAAAATTCTGTTATTTTCTTTTTTAAAAAGACTGGGTATGGAAATCTAAAAGAAATATCTTCATGAAAACAGCTGATAAGGCATTTTTAGTAATTTATAATGCTGAGAAATGTTAACGCTGAAAATAAAAGCTGATATCTAGTTTTCAAATTCAGAAGTCCTTTAGCACGTTTAGTCTTTTCTCTTTGGAGACTTCAGTTTGCAATGAATAAAGGCTACCACTATTGATGACTCTTCACTGAGATTTAAGAAATAAAATTCTTTATCTGCTAATTGGTGCTAAGTATCAAGGACTTTATTGGTTGGAGTAGACAGAAGAAAATGGTTAAGAGGCTTCACAGAAACAACTCCTGCTGGCACATTACCCACTAGAGAAGACAAAGACTACTTATGTGAACTCTAGGTCTCTAGATTAAAATCACCAAAAAAAGTCCCTTCGTGTAACACCAAGTCCAAGCTCTATAAAGTAAACAGAAGCTAAACAATTTTTAGCTTAGTTAAAAAGAAGTGTAATCATTTTTATTATGTTTCTATAATTTTTCACTTAGCTAGTAAAGGTGTCACTTAAACAATTTGTAACTTTTGATATAAACCAACTTAAGCAGTTACTTCTTTATCTCCCAAATTTCTAAACCATTTCACAGTAGCACAAAAGTCAGATGAAAAAATAATTCAACTCTATAAACATGGAACTCCCTTTTAAAAACAAAATGTTTTTTTATTAATCTACAGGATCAATTCAGAATCTCTTTTGGAGTAACTTTATTTACTCTGTACAAGCAAAACCACTACATTACATGAAAAGCTAAAAATCTGCCTGTTAGCCTATTTACATTCTTTTCACAAGCCTACTTATATTCTTGCTAGTCCCACATCCAGTACTTTTTTTTTTTTTTTTTGGTGTCCTTAAACGAAGTGGTAAAATAAAATGCCAAAACATAATTTTTTAAACAAATTAAATTTTAGTGTGTGTTAAGCATTGCAGTTTTTATTTTTTTTAAGCATTGCAGTTTTAAAAACAAAAATGTACTCAAACTGTTATGAATTAATAAAATGTAATACCTAATTTGGATATGAATATCTGGTATATTTTTCATGAAGAAAAAAAAAGGGTGACTTTCAGTTTAATCAGCAACTTTCTGAGTTAACAAATTTGAAACAGTGTTACTCAGGGGAAAGAAAATAATGACAACATAAATGTTCCAGGGCCACTTTGTTCTGTGGTAGTTCACATGTTTACATACTATCATCTGTAACTCCATCTAATGATGACTTTAAAGAGGAAAGTCTCTCTCCTTCTCCTAAGAATCCTATTCATAATACTTCTTCTCTGGCTAATTCATAATGAAAGATGTTTCCAAAACAAATAGGCCTGCATTTCACTTTATAAACTACTGGTGTGAAGGCATGCATTTTAGGAATAAAAAACACATGCCTTAAGAAATGTGTATTCTATTCAGGAATTATTTGCCTTGGTTTTTCTTTCTCAGTGAGGTTTAGAATATTCTCCCTCTACATGAAAATTAGAGAAGGGCCTCTGAGCAATGCAATGGTTGGCCAAATAAACTGAACTAAGTCACACCACACTTACAAAGTACATATACCTGACCACGATTTCCCAATATACATTCAATTTATTATCTTCAATCTGTTCAATTCATAAAGCACTTCTTACTTGGATATACAATCCAATCACACCAAAGGCTTATTATAACTTAAAATGTAACCATATAAGCCATCTTTACACAGTTCCAAAAAGACCCCAAGAGAATGCTGCTATTTAAAACAGAATAGTTACTTTTGACAAAACCAAAATTAATCAGTAAAGAAGAGATTCTTTAGAAAGGCTTTCAGTAACAAATCAAATTTTACATACCTGTAATATCAAGAACAGAAGGAGATGCAATGTAGTATCTATGAACTGTTTCAAGAAGTTGAGCACCATGGCCTTGACCTTGAAATGGAGTCAGTATCAGCATCTGACTACAGTAAAGAAATGATTGTAAAATTAAAATATAACAACATGATCTGTTTAAAAATTGCAAATCACTGTAGTATTAACATTTTAAAGTTAGTGGGTTTTTTTTCAGTCAACCTTCAAGAAATTCAAAAATTACTGAGATACTCAAAATTGGTTTAATCTTCTACAGTGTTTCAAAGGGAACAATGAAATAAATCAGTACATAGCCAATGAATAATGGTGATTTTTTTAAACAAATCAACACTATTATAACAAGTATTGGAAACTTCAGCAGTTCCTTCTTCTGAAATAAAAGACAAGGCACGTGTTATACCGCCAATTACCTTACACGTGGCCGGGTTTTGTCTGGGTACACATAGTAATTATAGACTGTCATGTAGCCTACGGTCGCAAAGAGCGTAGCTCCATCCTTATTATACTTCTCAAATCTGCAGATAAAACAGAAAGCCAAGCAGGTCAATTACAGTCGCGCTCCCATGCAGTGTCCATTTTCTTTTCCATTCTCTGACTGAATTTTCAGTGTCAGCAAGCTACTCTGTGAGGGCCCAATGGGTACACCTGCTATGTTCTGAATGTACAATTCACTTAATTGGTGTGCAGCAACTTGGATAAATCAGACCTCTTTACATCACTTCAGTGCACTTGCCTATTATAAAGATGAATAGGTGGCAAGTAAAAGAAAACACAGGCAAAGCTCATTTTACTGTTTAAGCCTACATTCAGGGTCCTAACGGACAACAGCATTTAATTCAGCTCTATTCTCAAGGTCTCCGAAAGCATAATGAAGGAAAACTCAAGCCTCATAAACAATAGTTTTTCTTTCCTGGGAAAAATATCATTATACTGTCCCAATAATTGGGCCGCCACAATTAAAATGCTGGCTTTGTGGAGGTAATAAGGTCTACTGTTGCTTTAGAACTGTACTTACACTAGAAAGTAGTGCCATCTTTCATCATCCACGTCAATAAAGCTAGCAGTTTCAATAAACCACATCAAAAAGGTCTGAAGCCTTTCATGATATTCTCGAAAGCCTCTACATGTCATGTCAGCCTAGGGAAAAAGCCAGGAAAAGTCAGGTGAAACTCATCACAGAGGTAAGTGAAAGTCTGTAGAACACAAAACTATCCTGTGGGAAAGTGTTTAGAAGTCTCAGATTAAGATGTGTACACAGACACACACACAAAATAGATCTTTGTTTTTAATGCTGACAGAAACTTGTTTCCTGAAGCTAGAAATGAGTCAATGAAAATAACAACAAAACAGCATACAGGTTTCAGGCAAATGGAGCACTTTTTACCCAAGAAATATTCAGATTTATCTTTACCTTGTATATCTGAAAGGTAAAGTTTTCCCCTCCTGTTGGACTGAGAACAGAGTATGTATGGAGTAAGGTTCCAAATGGCTTGAAATCAACTTCTTTTTCCAGCAAAGAGAGAAAATCATTTGTGTTTGTACAAAATCCAGGTGGGATGATTTGTCTAATTTTGCCCTCAACATCATCTGCCTAAAGAATAGAGGTTAAAAGACATAAGAAAAAATTCATAACAAATTTGACTTTTAGTTGAATATGCTTATTTCTTTGAAATGGACAAAACTCACAAAAATCACAAAACTGCAGTTCACAGTATTGAAGAAGTAAACACATTGAGAACTGGGAAAGGATGAATTTTGTGTGCACAAGAGACTATCACCCAATCTGAGATGAGAAGTGTAATACAAAAATAAAAAAGGAGAGACAGGTAGCCTGAAATCAAGTACAAGAATGAGGACTATGGTACTGAAATTTCTAACAGCATCTACAAAATGCTGACTATATCCTTTCAGTACAATTTGAACTGGCCCAAACAAAAGGCTGCTTATTATTTTATGTACGTCAAGGAGGCAATATTATCCAAGACATGAAAAGATCACAAACAGTAGTAAGGTGAGGCTATAGTCTGACCAAACAAAAAGCAAACTCACATTGAACAAGTGGACAGGTCATAACTCCCTCATACGTTAAACTCAGTACTAACATGATAATTTAAAAAATATACCCACTTAGGACATACATAATTTATATGAATGAATATATTATCCACTCATCTCTATAATGTGACACAATTTTTATAGAGTTGGATTTGTGACAGTAAAAAGAGACAAGCCTGGACAACAAAATTAAACTCAGAGACTAAAATTACCCTTGTTAAACAACCTCAATGAATGTTAAAACTATCAGCTGAGCAGACTTCATAATCCCTTTCAAAACCCCAAAAGACCACTTGATTGAATACATTTACTACTTCTCTTTAACCATGAATATTTGATGAAGTCTTACAATAAAGTATTACTGCTTCTCACCAGGCAATAAAACTTAATGAATTGGTCTCAACTTAACAAAACCTTATCCCTCAATACAGTCCCTAAAAGCCTGACATTACATTCAACAAAATGAGCTTGCATTCTATTCAAACTTTTTCCCGAACAATGAGGCCAGGTTTTTACTTAATGGAGTTTGCCGTGAGTTCAGCTGTAATGTTTGTATTGTATCTATTTCCACAAGGACTGACACAAGAACACTTTGTGTTAACTTACTAAGCAGCTCTTTCATACCGTTTACATGCATGATGGGTATTAGTTCTAAACCAAGACCCTTGCTACTTAGCATTCAAAACAGGGAAATTAAGATGCTTAGGACAAAATACACTACAAAAGGCTAATACAACATGCTACTAATTCCTGTCCTTTCAACCATCTTTTAACTAAGTAGAAGCAATGCACCTGCAGATGAATAGCACTTTATTATCATTCAGTTACATTTTAGGATAGAGAACCAAGGATGGAGTTTATCACAAACAAGTTTTATTTTCAATGCTCTGGTACCACCAACATTTATACATAACCTGTTTATAGCTAGTAAAAAAAAAAAAAAAAGAGCTATTATTTAAAATATAGCTCTTCAGTATTTTACCCAACAGCTTATTTCTAATATGTATTCATTTACCCTCTAAACCAAATAAACTGCATTTGATATTTTTTGTTTAAACTGCTATCTAATGTGAAGAGACTATCTTAAACATATTTTATAGAATATATACAATTTCAATAATTACCACAGGAAACTGTAATAATAAGGAATAGTCTTAATGGGTCTGATGTGTGGCAATTAAAATCCATAGTAGTAATGGGTAAAGTAGTATAATTTTAGTTCAAGGTAAAAAAAAGTCAAGAAATGCTTTTTAAATAAAGAGGTTTATAATCTATCAGTTTAAAACACTGCAAAGCATTTAGACTGTATTTAATTCTAACTTTTAAAAACTTTCCCCGTATCCTGTCTTCTCAACAAGGCATTGCAAAGTATGATCAAATAACTTCACACATCTTGCATCAAATGTACTTCAAAGATTTCTTAGAAACTGTAAGTTTCAAGTAGCAGTTCTGGTGGAAGACAGAACAACCCGAAGGTCTGAGCTCAACAAAGTTGAAAGAGAGTTAACTTTCAGTCTTCAAAGGATACCTATATATTGTAATAAATATCTTCAAATAAATATTTTGCTCTGGGCAAGTTTACACATTACTTTAAGAACTTTTACAGGAGAATAAAAGGCTAAGTTTAAAAACAAGGACTGTTATACATTAACAGATTTGAGAAAATGTGTATCAGATATATTACATAAAATATAGAACATAAAACCAAAGGGCTCTTCAAATGTAGAATTCAGAATCTTGCTTCACTAGAGGAAAAACGTATGCATTTCTCTTTAGATTCTGTTTTAAGAAAAAAATCCTATAACCACTTGATTTAGAGATCTGTACTCTTCTAATTGAGTTCAGTTAAATATTCATTTTTCATATTGGATTACTGGCCAGATAATAAAATCATCATGACAGAAAAACCCATCTCATCAATTTAAAAAGAATTTTTTTAAAAATTTTTATTCATTTATTTATTTTAGTAGGCTCTAAGCCCAAGATGGGGCTTGAACTCACAACCCTTAGATCAAGAGTCACATGCTCCAGGCACCTGGGTAGCACAGTCAGTTGAGCATCAGACTCTTGGTTTTGGCTCAAGTTGTGATCTCCGGGTCATGGGATCGAGCCCTACACTGGGCTCCATGATCAGCCCATGGAGTCCACCTGAGTTTCTCTCTCCCTCTCCTCCTCTTCCCCCCACTCTCATGCAAGTGTGTGCACGTGCTCTCTAAAATAAATAAATCTTAAAAAAAAAAAATTGCATGCTCTAGTGACCGAGCCAGACAGGCACCCTCCCTTCTCATCTTTCTAAAATTCAATGTTGAATCAAAGATTAACTGAAAACTTTTAGTTCCAATGTTTGTGGCTAAAAGTTCAGATTCTATTTCTGAAGATCACTGAAAAATTCCCTACCTTCAAGGATATTATTTTAAACTTCAATTAAACTTATGGAAAAATATACTTATAGAAAAGATAAGAAGGTTGCGCCTGGGTGGTTCAGGTGGTCAAGCATCTGATTCTTTATCTCAGCTTGGGTCTTGATCTCAGGGTCGTGAGTTCAAGCCCTGCACTTGGCTCCATACTGGACATGGAGCCTACTTTAAAAAAATTTTAAAAAACAAAACCTGTGTTTAAAAAAAAAAAGAAATTAAGCTGAATAGATCAAGGATCCAGAATATAACCTGATCTATTTAATTAATAAAGGCATGCCTTTCAAATGTTTTCCAAACATTTAGCAATAGCTTTTTAAAAAAGGAAAGTATAAAGGTACACTATTCTATTTAGTTCTTAGGTCAGTCATGATGAAATGTTTTAGATTGTATACTCTCTCACTATGGTCATTTCAACTTCCATGAAGCCATTTTTGCTTTTCCTCATCACTGCATAAAGAATGTGCCTGAAAATAAGTGGTAGTCCGCTATGATATAAATATGTTTACACTTTATTTGTATTTGTCCACATTTGAAAACCAAATTACATCTTTAGGATCTTTTCCTAAATAGCACCATTTGTGTAAATTTGTCTATGGTGAGTTATTTTTGAAAACAGCGATTAAAAAAGGCATGTTAAGTAGGTGGTCCTTTTACATGGCGAAAGTGGTAGGCTTAATTAACACTGACTAGAATTCTAAGATTACCTAAAATATGCTACAAAAACAAGCCAAAAAATTTCCATATCTACTTAATTTGCTCAATCTTACATTACCTGACAACATTTAAGCTGTGGAAATTTGAGTATTGTTAGAGAAATTAACAGTGTGAATTTTTTCGCTACTGGAAAAACAAAGGCGGTATCCTGTGATTGATACTGCATTGGTGTTTTGCTACCTAAAACTCACATAAAATTCTAAGACAGAAATCTCAATATATAATTTTAAAGCTTTTCATATATTTATAAAAAGCATTACTCATGAAAAACAGTTACAATTATCAAAAAAAGTATAGTGAAATATTATTAATGTTATTTTTTCATTTCAAGATTAAATTTTTGTAAGTACACAGGGTTTTTCTGCAAGAGGGTAAAGAATCCAGAAAAAAATTTTTTTTTTAAGATTTTATTTATTTATTTTGACACAGAGAGACACAGCGAGAGAGGGAACACAAGCAGGGAGAGTGGGAGAGGGAGAAGCAGGCTTCCCACTGAGCAGGGAGCCCGATGCGGGGCTCGATCCCAGGACCCTGGAATCATGACCTGAGCCGAAGGCAGACGCTTAACGACTGAGCCACCCAGGCGCCCCTCCAGAAAATTTTAAAAATCTGCTCTCATCTACTCTCAAATTCAATCCATATTAGTGGGAGACAAGGATAAAATAGACAACCGAAGTTCACAGATAATACAAACTGCACCCTGTATTTCAACTTCCTCTGCCAAACCTTTTCCCAGAAATGCTAGCAATTAGCAAGACTGAACAATCTTAGTCATACACCCTTACACTAAAAGGCAATGAAATTAACTCAAGAGAAAGCAGGAGGCTCTGAAAAGCATAAGATGAAAGAAACTGAAGACAACACAAATAAATGGAAAGATATACTGTACTCATGGTTTAGAAGAATTATTGTTATTAAAATGTTTGTACTACTCAAAGCAATCTACAGATTCAATGCAACTTCCCTCAAAATACCAATGGCTTTTTTCACAGAACTAGAACAAACAATCCTAAAATTCATATGGAACCACAAAAGGTCCTGAATAGCCAAAGCAATCCTGAGAAAGAACAAATCTGGAGATCTCACGCTCCCTGATTTCACAGTATGCTAGACTACAAAGCTATAGTAATCAAAACAGTATGGTACTGGCACAAAAACAGACACAGAGATCAATGCAACAGAACAGAATGCCTAGCAATAAACCCATATATATATATATGGTCAATTAATCGATGACAAAGGAAGCAAGAATAAACAATGGGAAAGACAGTCTCTCCAATAAAGAGCATTGGGAAAACTGGACAGCCACATGCAAAAGAATGAAACTGGACCACTCTTGTACATCATATACAAAAATAAATTCAAAATGGTTTAAAGACTTGAAACCATAAAACTTGTAGAAGAA